GTCGGTGGGGGCCGGAGGGCCGCCAGACCGTCGGCGAAGCAGCCGGCGGCGGCATCAGCGCCAGCAGATGGGGTGCCGAGACGCGGGGTTCGCTTTGCCTCTTTTGCTCTTGCGCCGACGCCGCCGCCATCTTCCGAGCAGCGGAGGCCGGTGCGCATTCAGCGGCAGTATGACGCATACCAGGGGACGGTTCCTTCGTGGAGTGATCCCGCGGTGCTGTTACCGCGGCCGGTGCTACGCCTGCGTCCCGAGAGAGTGTCGCCTGCCAAAATGGAGTCGTCCAAGCTCCCACCGGTGCGACAGCAGCAAGAAGGAACACACCCGTACCATAATAATAAAAATGTTCAGCAGCATGTGACGCCGCGAGGAGCTGCAAACACGCTGGTGCAAAGACCCACTGGAGAGGCGGCTCCGTCTGTGTCTCACCGACGATTGGCCGAGGTTGTGACAAGGCTGGCGACCTCTCGAACTTCATCGCCGCAGCTCCATGCGCAGCAATCCATTTACTCACTACTGCCCGCGGTGCGAACCAGCCCTGATCAACGCGACGCGCTGTACCGTCAGCGTCGACGGCGGGGAAGCGTTTCTCATGCCCGAATGGGGCCCACCGCCGCAGGCCCGCCAACGCATATGTCCTTTCATAACGCGCCGTGGGGACCGGCTCTAGTTTCCACATGGGCGCATCCAATGCACCGCAGCACAAACGGCGCCTCGCAGACTGGGCGTTTTGTGGGCGACAGGAATGTATTCTATTACTAGGAGGGTGCGGTGGTGCCGCTTGCGGGTTGACACGCCCCGCGTTGATAACAACGATGTGTTGGTGGATGGCGGCAGTCCATACGTGCGTTTGTGGGAGCAGCAACAGGGAGAGTTGGCGGTGATTCAACAATATGGACGAACCGAATGAGTTGGATCCACCAATCAGAGGGGAGGAGAATGCTCACTAAAAGGGACATGGGAAACCAAACATCTTGATTTGTTTTGTGCTGGCAAGGCGGCATACCCTGTCAGTCCACGTGAATAGAATACATCTATGCTTAAGTGTGTTTATGTCGTGCGAGTTGGGTGGGTGGCGGCGAGGGTGTGTTTCTGATGGACGAGAAGGACAGGGAAAGTACGAGCGAATGAAACGTACCATCGAGTTGAAGTGTCCAGAGAATGTAAATAAGGGGACGAATGAAAGGGGTTGATTTTGCTGGAGGTTCATTGTAAACATAAAGGTTTGAATTTATCCTTATAAATGCGTGAGCCTCTTAAACACATTCACACCCACGGGAAAACAACAACAACAAAAGGAGGAGAACATAACTGAGTGTGCTTGCGTTTGTGTGTTTATGGATGCCGATGATGGAACCTAGACAGGTGTCTTTTGCTTTCTTGCTTTTTTTTTTTTTTTTGACGTTTTGTTGCGAAACAAACAAGAGTTCTTCTGTGGTGGTTTTTTCTAAACCTCCGGGGAGACACAAATAAGTGCAGTGGTGGTGGTCGGTGGTGCACGCTGCAGGGTCTTTCTCCCTCCCCCACGCACACGCACCGCTTTTATTTGCTTTGCTGACGAGTGCTGTTGCCCACCTCCTTTTTTTTTTTTTTTTTTTTTTTTTTGAGAGACTGCGAGAGGAATGGTTTTGTTCTGCTGCGGGTTTTTGGCGCATACCCAACAATAGCAACTTTCTCAATGGATTACTGTGGAGGGTGTCGCAGGGGGTACGGTTTGAGGGGCGTGGTTTACGTGCAAAAGTGTCTGCATGATGCCGTTGGTGAAACGGCCACCACTTTTGGCACTGTAATGGCGCGCAAGCGCCAGGGACATTGCAGCTTTGGCGCAGCGTCATGGTACGGCAGCGTTGTCCCTTGAATTTTAGGGCGTTTGGCGGCAGACGAACATTTTGAAGGGTTTTGGGAGGGCATCCCGCGACAGCCCGACAGCTTGGCGAAGGAGGAGCAGGAGCAATATTTGTGGGCTGCAGAAAAGGATGCACTGCTTGGGAAAAGGGAAGTTAATATCCGGAACGCTGCAGAAAGGTCCGTCACAGGATCTTTGGTGATTTTCACGGCGGAGAAGGGCAAGGTGTCCGGGTAGGGACGGCGGTCCAAGGCATTGGCCAAAGGCAAAAGGTGATGAGTGGGATTACGAAGCCATGATTGCCCCGCCGTGTTACATTTCAAATCACCTCAGCACGGTGAGCGAAGAAACCGTCGCTTTATTTGATTTGAAGTCCTTTCCTTTCAATTGGCCTTGCCGGATGATATACAGACGAGTTCCCGTTGCCGAATGGAATTCGGGGATCTCGTGGGGTTTGCACGCCTCACCGTGGGCTGCAACCACAGCACATTACAATCCCTTTGACTTTTTGAATTGCTTTGTCGTGCTTATTGATTTCTTATTTCTACGGAGCGTCAAACATTATTTACTCCTTTTTTTTTCTGGAGGCACATTTTTTTTTCCTCTTTCTCTTTGTGTGTGGGTCTATGTCTCGGAGAGGGGAAAGCACACAGACAGAAACAGACACGGAGTGATGCATGTGGCATCAACTGCGCAGCTGCACGCGAAGTGTTTTTGCACGGGAGCCTTCCAGTGCCCATTGATTGCTGCTACAACCACAGGAACGGAACAAAAAAAAAAAAAAAAAGAACAAAAAAGGACCAGGAGGGAATAATTTGTTTTTATTGTCTGCGTGTTATTGTGGCCATCAATTCCTCCCCTGTTGCTGTCGCTGCTGCTGTTTCTACTGTTGCCGCTTTTTCCCTTTTCTTTTGTGACCACATCTCACAGAGCGGCGCTTGCCAACACTTACTAACGCTGTGTGGGGCGGATACAGCTATAGCAAATTCATCCTTCACACTCACGCGATAATAGTCATTTGCTTGCAAGGAGGGCAGCAAGGCGAGAAAATTCTGGGCGAAGACACCTGCTTCTCCATATTTTACAAATAAGGCGCACCAAAGGGGGAAAAAAAAACAAAAAAGGACTCAAAAGGGGGCTCTCTTTGGGTAACTTGTGATTTGTCACGGCGTGGGTTCCGTTGCTATAGTGGCAGCTGCGATAGTGGTGTGGTGAGCGGGAGCACCAGGACCAAACATCACGCCGAGGAAGGCATCACAACCAAATTAAATAGTGAAGAGAAGAAGGGCTCTTTGTTTTTGTGAGGAGGGAAGTGGGGCGATTTGTTGACATTGCTTTCTTGGCTGTTTGCTCAACGCCTTTTGCGAAAATTGGCGATTGCCCGACAAGAGCGGTGCACGTGCGCAGCAACACAAGCCCACGCGTGGACACTTGCAGGGAGGGGGAGACGGCGAGGGGTGCGCGAGGGACTCCGGTGCTAATTGTTGTCTTTCTGCCTTGTGACGGTCCTCGGAGGAGATGCACAGTGGTCACAGCGGGGGGCAGAGCGCTAACACCAAGTTAACACCTCCTGGTACTTGGCAAACAGTTCACAATCAACGTTTTGCGTCCGG